AACGTGGGGACTTATATTCGGAGGGGCTTGTTATAGGAGGTATTTTTGCGTTTCAGATTTGGGGGGCTTCTATACGGAGGGGTTTATACACGCTATTAAAAAGTGAACTAATAGGGCAATCATAAATCCCTTATTGGATTATTTGACATATGATATTACGCAACTCACAAATTCGGAAGTATTATAGTTTCAACCATCCAAATAAGGTGTTTGCGTTGTATATAGTACAATAATGTTTTTCTCTTATTTTTCAGAAGGTGGTACTGTAAATTCAACAATAACATTTATTTGCGACAGAGAGCAACTGAAGGGTGGACAGCCAGAACTGATACAATCATATGGGGTCAGTGAATTATTGCTTGCTTCATGGAAATACAACTTGCTGCAACCTACTCCTCAATGTAGTTTAAGTAAAAGTGTTGATTGGAAAAGTAAGATTTTCATTCGTAAATTTAGCGTTCTTTTTAAAGTGAGCAAAACGTGTTTCGACACGATCATGTCCTCATCAGTTGCAAATTCTCACTTTAAAAGTACGTTATGGAATAGCGACGTAAGATTCACCATACATTTCGTAGACTAACGATTATTATTATCAACTCAAAATTTTGTTTTGCTTTTCACAGAAAAACGGAGCAGATTTTATTTTCAGAACAAGTTTAGTTTGTCCTCCGCTTGAGCGGGAGTGCAGTTACACTTATTCCGGTAATACTTATGACCTGCAACTCCTAACAAGTCGAACAGGAAGCTGGAATTACACATCACGTAATAAAGACAGGTACCTACCTCTGCTCCACAGCTATGTTACTATTCGTTACTATTCATTTTGCGTTGAGCTTTCTTCATTATTTTCGTGCGCTTTCTTTTCTCTATTATTCTGTTTAAGAAGCACTGGCCTTGGCGAGTTGAAAAAAATAATCATGACTAAATTTGCAGCGAATGTCGCCAATTTCGTAGGCTATCTTCTGTTTTCTGACGCCATCGTCCGTTTTCACACACTTTCATTGGATTTCGGAGACTATCGCTGGTTTTAGGACACTTCCTTTTGATTTCGGCGCTATTGTTCGATCCTAATGCTATCATTCAGGTTCGAACGCTATCGTCCGTTTGCAGCTGTTTTTGGACTCTTCCGTCAAATTTCGGACACTTCCGTTGGATATCGGACGATGTCGTCTGATTTTTGATACTAATGTCCGTTTCCGATCACGTTCGTCCGCTTTCTATCGCTATCGGCCTATTTCTTGTATTAAGTGTTATTTCTGGTGACCAATTTTAAGGCAGGGGAAACCCTCTCTTAAATTGGTTTGCTTTCGTTGAATATCAAACAGTCGTCGAATGTCAGTGAGGAGTCCGGCACTTTGGCTTCGGTTGTTGGCTAGAAAGATCTCGCCAACTACTTGAGAAATGAGAAGAAACTTCGAAGATCAACAGCATGACGCGCAGTTCGCATGACCTCTTTGTGCTGTTTACGTTTATCCTTAATTATTGGTCTTTGTTTTTCCTTTTATTCAAATTTGATTTTAAAAAGCTGAAGTCAGATTCAAGTATTGTTTCTCTTTGGTTTTCTTAGATTTTGGATAAACATTTGCAGAGGCATTAGTGATGGTCCTAAAGGTATCTTGTTATTATCGTCAGGGAAACTGAAAAGCAGTGATTCGAGCTAGCACTGTAATGTAGTGAAATTATCATAGATTTTATTTATCTATTTGTTTATATTATAAACTTTTTTGTTTATTTGTTTTCTTCCAGGTTGTCCATCACATGCCTCAGTTTGTATGATAAGAGCAGGAAAAGACAAAGTAAACGTTCTTGGGCTCACAAGCACGCAGATGATGACTTATCAGGGTCAATATTTCACACGCGTTCTCTTTTCTGTTTTGTATCGCTTTAAGTCTTACTAGCGTGTGCCTCAGCCGGTCAATAGGTGTCACGGGCCAGCTGGGGCCCGTTTCTCGAAAGTGCCGGTAACTTAACGGGCCCGTAAAGCTGTTCTGTTTTCATTCAAGATGGGGATTTCAAAAGTTTTGAGAATGATACAATAAAACTATCAGCTAAAGAAACAAAAAGGACTGGTTTATGTGCCAGAACCCGATTTCCTATCCTTTAAATTTTGATTTTAAAACATGATTTCGGGCCCGTTAAGTTACCGAGACTTTCGAGAAACGGGCCCCAGATCCTTGGGGAGAGGGCAAAAACATGCTAGGCTGAAAAAAATTCAAGACACACAGGGTTAGTGTTTATAAGGCAAAGGCAAAGGCAAAGGTGATCCCTGGGGGTCATAGGGTGGGGAGAGATGTATTAAGGGGGCAGATTCACGTTAGGGACTTACTGGAAGAAGAAACGTGAAGGGCAATCGATGAAGATATTGAGGGCGGGAGAATGATTTTAGAGAGGATATCTTTAAAGAGAAGCAGGTTACTAAGGGAATGAATAGTGAGAGAAGGGAGTGCAAATGTGGATTTTTTTTGTGAGAAGGAGGGAGTTCGAAGGATTTAGTCAGCGAAGGGCAAAGGGAGAGAAGGGAGATACAAGACGTGTTTTAAGGAAGAAAGGGTGGTGTGAAGAGAAAGAGGAGGAGACACTGGGGGAGGGATAGAAATCAGAGCAAAGTGCAGTAGCAAGGGGAATGGGCGAAAAGAAACAGATACCCTCGACACTATTGTTCACAACTGAGAATTCTTTTCCTTTTGTCACCTCTTTTTACAGGTGGTAAGCTCCAGTTACAGTATTCAGGGCTACCATCGGATGGCTGTCGCAAAGGTGTGCATCCCAAAGTCGTTTTCTATTTCGATTGCGGAAGTCATGTTGGTCAGCCTTCTTTATCAAGGTATGTTTTATCAAGGTATGTTTTACGGATTAAAGACTATGATATCTATACTTGTGTGGAAAATGTTGCCTGCTGCTGGCTTTACATAGAAGCTAACGGTGAATGAGGGGATAGATACACATCCTGATGAAAACAATTCATCCTCAAGAATTTTTCTTCAGTTTAACATGAGTGGCTTTTTTTTTTATCTTTGTCACGTTCGTCTCTCTTTTTCCACAGGGAAGAGTGGTCATCTTGTGTCGTTGTTATTAACTGGAAAAGTTCGGTAGCCTGTAAAGTCAAGAGGTGAGGATTTCCTTAATTAAGTTCTTCGACTGTTTTACTTCATGTAGTTTTCTATAAAAGAGGTACACTGTTAACACAATGGTTTAACGCCGCTCGAGCTAGGGTAAATGGCCATACAAACGCATTACAAATCTACAAAAGGAAACAAAAGAGGGGAGAAGGAATACCTACGGATATTCGAACACTTAGTTAACCCTTTCACTGCTAAGAGTGACACTCATCTAGTTTCTCCTCACCACATCACCCTTGAATCACACATCAAGGTCAGGAGAATAAAGGAAATGATCACCAACTTATAAGCTCTTGATTGTTAAACAAATTCTCCTTGTTAACACCTTAGGAAATGTAAAGAGAACAGTATGGAGAATATGCATACTGATGTTAGGGAGTTAAGGATACTTTGGTGACAGGTTTTCTGTTGTTCTGTCATTTTTTTTTTTTTTTAAGCCTTACCAAAAGCGTTACACGTTTTTAAAAAGCCGTGACTTATGTGGTTTATAACTGAAAGCCTGAAAGCACTATGTCGGACCACCTCTTTGACGTCTGAACGTTCGCACATGCGTCGGCTTTTGACCTTCTGTCAGTTATAGATGGTTGATCGTCTTCAAACCCTGATTAATTTGTCTCCATATTTCTGTAGAAACACCACACACAACTTACAATTTCTCTAGTCACTCGGACGAAGGGCTAACGCTTGAAACACCAACTTTAGATTCTCTTTACGGTGGCCAATTTACACTTCCAACTCAGTTGATATAACCAAATTATCTTGTAATAGTTAAAAGACTTAAACAGTTATGACGTAGTTGCCTTAAAAACACAATGTACTTTTTTTTAATCTTTTATTGCCTCCTAACTGAAATTTCTAACATGTCTTCCTTTCTTTCTTTTGTTTATTTTTACCTTGATCCTGTGGTTTTTGATATACTTTTCTTTCCCTTGTTACCTCGTTTAGTTATTCCAGTTGTTCACTGTTATTTAAAATTTATCAGCCTATTTGGATGTCATTATTCCTACTTTGAAATGTGTCGAATTGTCTTCCACTGGGCAAGAGGTTTGAGAAAAAGCTTTTTCTTTATTTTCTCCAATTTCATTTCAGAGAAAGAATTGAAGAAAACAATTGTGTCGTCAAACATCCCGTCACGGGCAGAATCATTGATTTTAAAAAACTTTTGAATGGATCTGAAAGGTAATATTTTATTTTTGTTGTTATCTTTGTTTTTGGTTGTATAACGAAATGAAAATGCAAATGCAAGGCAGTCAATGAAAAAAAAAAAAAAAAGATGTCAGGGCTCGCACGAGATAACCTGGAAAGTCCTGGAATTTATTATGACATTTTCCAGGTGTGGAAAGTCCTGGAAAAAAACTACAAGTCCTGAAATTCTGCTTCACTCAAGCAATATGGTTTTCAGCATTTACGTTGTAGGATATGTATGTAGACCGTAAGGAAAAATGATTTTGCAATCTTGAAAATGAAAGCTTTGAAGGTGATATTTGGAGTCCCGGAAAAATCAATCTGAGTCCTGGAAAATTCCTGGAAAATTCCGGGAAAAGTCCTTGAAATTTCTTTCTGAAAAAGGGTACGAATCTTGTGTTTTTACGTGTTGAGGTCAGAAACATGAAGCGAACTGCTAAACGGAAATATGATTTTCCTGGCGTAATCAGAGATGTAAAACAAGATACACGAGAAACACACAGTTTGTGCGCAGAACATTGATTATGTCACTCATCACCATGAATTAATCCTAATGTTTATGGATGGATTAATGCCGTTTTTTTGTGACTAATCTTCAGCACGTGGAAAGTTATTGGACGAGACGAACATGTTAAAGAAGTGTCCTATTACATCAATGTTTGTGATAAACTTGGTAAGGGAACAAAGGATTTACCATCGGGCTGTAATGGAGACGTGGCTTCAGTGTGCATTGAGAACACGCCGTTTACTGTGACGGATAAAAGTATTTATTATGAAGGTGCGTTTTACCTGATCAACTCACAAGGAAAATACGTTTTTCTTGTACGTGATTCCTTAAGACAGGAAGCTAAAAGTAATTTATCATGAAGAATACTTGGCCAGGACATCTAATTAATTTTAGACGTTTCATACCAACGCATTCAGGATATTTCCAATTATGATCCATTAAATATTTTTGTTCGCGCGACACTGGTCTCACCGCATCACGTGGCCGAATATTCCCTAGCTTGAATTGGGGAAATATTACCCGAGTGATTTTCCCATTTTTAAACCTTACGTCCACAACGATAATGCTTGGTCTAAAGGTTGATTTAGGATGAGAGACCTTTTTGTTACAGAAGAAGGGAAATATTTGTTTCTTCATCAAGTCGTACCAGAGAACACTCTTCGCATCTTGGAACCGATAATGTCGGTTGAAAAATATCCGTGCATATTTTCGCGCCAGATAGAGGCTAATCTTTATTTAATTCCTAAAGTGAGGGGTAAGATTAGTAAATAGACTTCCACACGTGACAAACGTTCAACATATTTCTTCATTCGACGATGAAGCGCAAAGTTGTCACCTTCACACAGATCTGTTTCATCTTCAAGAAGGTAGCAAAGAGAGGATCCTGATTCCGTTTACCCGTCACGTGTACTTTAAACAGTATTTCACGCTTTGCGAATTTAAAAGGAAAACGTCAGTCTCACCTTAACCTTGCCTTTCTGTAAAATTCACGTGTCACGTATTAATGTTTGGCTTAATCACGTGTCATCAATTAATCCTTTGACGCCGCCTTCAAGGCGCTTTTGATATTGCTGATCGTAGCAGTACGCTTGTCACCGATGAACCTCTTTCACAGCCTAGATCACCATCCATCGACTTAAGCTCAGTGATAGAGCCTCGTGGTATAAAAATCTGAAGATCTGAACAGAATCTAATAATTTCTTCTAACTTTTGAGAATTCGTTACTATTATTTGCTTTGTAGACTCCATTTTTTCGCTTGAGATGACGGCAGATAAGGTCGTATTTGTGATAAACTTCCAGTGTTCAGAGGAAAAAGTGGTAAGAGCTGACGCATTCCCTTTGTGTTGAAAGACACTTGTGAAATAATTTAGCTGATTATAGTTATTAGTCGCTCTCGCGACCTCCACGATCGAAACACAATAAGTTACTCTGTTTTAAAAGCTATGACTGTTGTCCTTCTACCTAAACAATTTCTTCCTTGACAGCAAAAACTGTTATTCGAGACAACTCTTCAAGCTGAGAGGACAGTAACATTTGTTCCTTTTTTTTCCTCCTTAGGGAAGTCCCAAGTTTGATTATCTTTCAAGCAACAAACATTACTTCTTTACGTGGACAACTTCCGTTGTTTGCGCGGGAGAATTGTAAGTATTTTGTCTGAATAATAGCGCTGTACTTTTTCGTCTTCCTCGTCACGCCTTTTAGAAGGCTTTGTATGATTGGCCAAAGTAGATGGTGCTTCGTTCTCAACCAATCGTATATAAAACAAACCGTAGAGAGCGCTATTTATGCAATAGCGAAAATCAGACCTGAAAAAGGTCGTATTCTTTTCAGGTGTGATTTTCGCTATTGCATAAATAGCGCTCTCTATTGCGAGGATCGTGCATCATACGTTTCTATAACCGCAGTTCAAAATATATGAACTTCATATATTCATCATATGCAAAACCATATATGATAATATTTTGTGCATTTCCTTCTCCTTTTTGTGTCCTTGCTTTCAAGCCTAATTAGTTTAAACAAATACAGTACAGATATTGCAGTGGGAAGAAGACATGTATGCACCTCCCAAGCTTGATTTCACGGGATAAATGTGTCCTTTATATTGCCAAATTAACTGAGGAGTGCGTCTCGTCGCAATTCGTGTGTTCTCTTTCTCAGCCGTCGTTGAACTCGCTACGCTCGTGTTTCGTTGTGTAATTTTGGTTTTAAATTCGAGTAAGTGGTTGGGAAACCGCGCATTGCAAGGTACCAGTGTTCTAATGAGGTTGTTTGATGTGTGTCCAGGAGCCGCGAAGTAACAGATATTCCTGAAGCTGGACACAAAACAGTCAAGTCTGTCGGAAAGAAAAACTTGGGGATCGCATTTGGTGTGGTTTTCGCTGTTCTCTTGGTCATTGTGTTTGTTGTTGTGTTTTATAAACCTTCCAGAAGGTAAGTGAACTCCTATTTTGTCATTCTTACAACCTCAACGTAACCACGGTCGAAAAATGTACATTTAACACCCTCCTTTGTACTTACATATTTTAATTTCCCTTTATGGAGGGAAATCAGTGTCATTCGTATACTTTTTCGTGACAGCACGGAACAAGCTGATATGGATTTTACTTTTTATTTGTTCTTATTGCAGGCATAAAATCATTTCCTATTTGAGGGTAAACTTTAAGACACTTGTTCTTCGCAAAGAGATCAATTATCCTACATACAGATATCAAAAGGTAATCAAACACTTTTAATTCCGCAATATTCAATAACTCGGCATGTTCCGAGCTTCCGGTCAGTAAACGGAACTCAATGCATCAGTAGGAAAGAAAAGAAGTAAGGAAGAGCCTTGGTTTGGGTTGCTCTCAAAGCTCCTTGCAGCGCTAGACGACATTATCGCGCTCTGTTCACCAAAAACAGGTCCACTTGGCATGGTAAGACCTCAAGGCCTCTCATTGTTGTCGGTTCATGGCACACTGTCGAATTTAATATACGTATCTACTGCTTGAAATCTACAAACGACAAAGGACAGAAATGATGAAATCCTAGCGACGTAGGAAAAGTTATCGTATCCCTCGACATCCAACCGGCCGTGTTTTAAATGAGCACGCTATTTTGAACAAATATTATTAATAGTCTCGTGTCGAAGATCATCGAGGATCGCCTAGCTTTTGCTCTGCTTTACTCTCTTATTGGTCTGGAAAACTCGCGCCACTCTCCTAACCAATCAGATACCAAGCTGAAACAAGTTGCGATATGAGATGAAGTGAACTTGTTTTAACGTTGAGCTCTCATTCATTCGCTCATTGTTCTACGTTCTGATTGGCCGTTGCGACTACTTTGGTGTTACGTCACACTATTAAAGAAGTGTTTATCGATTAGTTTTCCAGTAACGATTGCCCTGAGTTCCGCTTTTCATCGGTTTATTTGTTGTTTTTTTCTCGATTTTAGCTCGATGTCTCTGATGACGATGAGGCGGATTCCCTTATTAAGATAGCTGAGGGGAGTGATGACGAAGAAGAAAACGACGATGACGATCTCTTACCATTTTAAACGGGAGGACTGAAACAAACTCCAAACCGCTGACCGCCCATTATAATTACAGTTGGGAAAGTGAAGAATAGTAAATATGATGGCGGCGAGCGGCTGGGTTCGATTCAGCCGGGGTCTGGTTGCAATGTGCGAAACTCAGCTGATCGTCTATTTGAAGTTCAAGTTTTTTTTTTTTTTTTACCTCGGCCAGCGGTAGCATTGCCGACAGTGGGTAGAACCGTGTGTATGGTAAGACTGTCTTTGACTTAAGCTCTTCTCATACAAATCCTTATGAAAACGAAGTTTTTCGATACAAGAACGGATAAAATTTGTACCGTCCGTTCATTCTTTTTCGCATTCTTAAAAAGCTTAATCATCGAAACTGTCCCTCAAAGGAGGACGTACGACAGAGTTCACACGGTTATTTAATAGATGTTTGTTCGTCCATTCAGGCAGGGAAAGCGAGAGATAAAGAAAGAAACGTCTTCAAATTTATCATAACAATGTAAATTGGCGTTTTCGTTTATAAGGAATGACGCGACGGTTCGTTTAGGATAAATAGACTGGCGTGTATTGGAAGGAAAGAAAAGGCACGAGCTCTTATTCTGACTCAGAAGGATAAAATAATTTGAGAGAAGATTTGAAGTGTAGAAGAATTTTTTCAGAGGAGAATGAAATGACATTTTTAGCAGGGTCATCATTCTCCAAAAATGTTAAATTAACATAGAAATTTAAACGAAATGGTTGGATTTAAAGTAATTTATTGCCACCTAAAGTGGCAAGACGTAGTTCAGTAGTGATATAACAAGGAGGAGGAAGATCGACATGTTAGTGTTACCTGGTGAGCGAATCCTCTTCTAAGGTTTGTGTACATGCTTTTATGTAAACGTCTTTGCAACACGAAGAGAAGCCCGTTTCAAATTGAATTCCTCCAACCCACATTTGTCGGTTTGGAATGGGAAACATTAGTTGCAGGGCTATTTGATAAATTAGGTATTGCACTCTGGAAAGTTGTATTTAATGATCAAAGGTGTTGTTAATGAGCCGATAGGAAAATTTTTTCACTAAATTAATGGTTATCAAGAATCACTTCAACAGTCTCTTTATTTTCTGTATTGCTATATCACTACTTGATGTTCCCGTTTCACTGAAGATAAGTGATGGCTCCTCTTATTGCTTGCTTTCTACAAAGGAAAACAGAAATTAGTAGAAGCTACTTTAAACTGAACCCATCCTCGGAGACCCAGGGGCTGTGAGTCGATTTCAAGCTAGGGCGGAAGAGCCCCTGGGGACATTGTCTTACAAGACTAGTTCCAAACGGTCGCAGTCGTTCTGGCATCTGATTGGCGCCAGAAAATCTTTGTGTTTTTCTGCTCAATCAGAGTGAAGTGTGCTTTAGAGTCCTTTCGTATGTTTTAATACGGACACATACAAGAAGCTCTGTTACTCGCCATGCTTGTTTGGGCCGTGCGACGAAGCTTTGCTCGAGGTGAAAAGTTTCAGTCTCAGCACACAATGTGAGAGAAATCACAGGGGGCCCATACAATCTGTTTGTGTAGCCGACAGTTGTTTTATAGGGAATGTACCAGATTTACCGTTTGCCTCACCTATAGTGATATATTGCTGACTATGTACATAAAAATCGTTGATAAATAAACGTTGAATTACTTTACCTGTGGTGTATAGTCGTCCTTTTGCCTCAAAAATGTTTTTTTGAGCGATTTTGAATAAGTCTGAGTTCGTCGTTAATGTAATGCATAAAAGAAAGACAAGGGTGGAAGCCTTGTTTTGAAAGGGTTCAAGCGCCCTAGCGATTTTCCCCGCGAAAATTGCATCGCTCTGCCTTCAAACTTCGCAGCTTTAAGGTCAAAAGATGCACGATTCTCCTCGTACCTTCCAATCGAAAATCCATCCAAACGGACCGGAGCTAGCCCTCGAAGAAAATCAAAATCCCACAGTATTTGAGCGTCGATTTCTCTTACATTTTGTGCTGAGACTGAAACTTTTCACCTCGAGCAAAGCTCCGTCGTACGGCCCAAACAAACATGGCGAGCAACTAAGCTTCTTGTATATGTCCGTGTTAAAACACACGAAAGGACTCTAAAGCACACTTCACTCTGGTTTGGCAAAAAAACACAGATTTTCTGGCACCAATCAGATGCCAGAACGACTGCGACCGTTTGGAACTAGTCTTGTAAAACAATGTCCCCAGGGGCTCTTCCGCCCTAACTTGAAATCGACTCACTGCTCCTGGGTCTCCGAGGATACTTTAAGCCTTGAACCCCTAAGAGTGACCAGCATTTAATTTCTCCTTACAATAGCACTCCTGAATCAGACTTTATAGGGTACGAGAACAAAGGAAGTCATTGCCAACTGAGGATGCACTTGATTGTGAAATTCTCCTTGTCAGCACCTCAGGAAATGTATAGAGAACAGTATGGAGAATATGCATACTGATGTTAGGGTGTAAAGGGTTAAGACGGACGGAATGGAACGCGACTACTTTGTTAAGAATGAAACAGTTTTTAACGATTATTCCCACCAATAAATCGTTCCCACATCTTGCAGGCAATTTCTGACAACGTTCCCGATGAATTATTTCCCCAGCTAATCATTTCCTTTAAAATGAGCTCAAAGCACGCACGGCAACAAAATTTTGATTTTGTATTAAGAAACTAGATGTGAAACATGTACAGCACTTACTTGGAAGGCAGTTCTCCCACTCATTGTCTTTGTCGAAGTTCGACGTTGTTGCGCACCATGGCATCCAGACCCAGTCTATGATGCACTTGTAGTACTTCTTTCCTTTGTACGTGAATGGAAACACGCAGCACTTGTCGTTCTTTGTTTTCCAAGGACAGGCTTAAATAAGGAAACATAATATAACAAGTCTTAATACATTTTAAGTCCAGCCTGTATAACAAGCGTATTTTTCTGACGAGCGAACCTCGAGTACTGAATTATGAGATCGAGGATAGCTTTGAGGGGATAGAAAGTGTTTAAGGGGGTAGTAGTGCAAGTGTACTGCTTGTTGAAGGGAAGGGGTATTTCCCATCTTCCTGAATTATTTCCCTTGCTGTTTTGTTTCGATGTTTACTTTCCTTGATGTTACCAATCTAGTATGACGGCTTCAGCACTCGACCAGAATATTTTGCACTTGCTCACTATATAATACGCCTCGGTGTGATACCGTTACCCAGCCGTTCTGAGTAAAAGAGGAGAAGATTAGCCTTCAGGAATTGTTTTACAAGTGGAGTTAAGAGAGAAATTTTAAAAACGCTCATGCGCAGTGAAAACATCAATAGGAACCAATAATCAAAACAAAAAAAAAAACCAAGCTCGAGGCAATTTAAGACTAAGAACTGACGATGATGAGGTTGCTATTTGGTTCCCCTCGTAGACTGCTACACCGCTGTCAACTTTTAGCGAGCCGTATAAAAATTATCGGTCTCAGTTCGGGAAAAGATAAGTCTGATCTTTACCGATGGCTGCACCATAGACCTCAACACGCATACAAGGCTTGTAGTTCCACTCAACTGGGATAAAGCGAATGAAGTGCGCTGTGACTGGTCGGCTTAAATCATTCTTTACCATTTCATTGGCGTTCGTGTTTCCAGAAAACTCCTGAAAGAATTATTAGGTATTAAGTATCATGATTAAGGGAATGTTGAGTAAGATGTTAAACTAATTTTTTCGGCCACCTCCCTTATCAGTCCTCAAACATAATCAATCAGCTTTCAGTAGATGTGGCAGGATAGCATGTCTAACCTTTACTTTCCCATTTTCGGTGTAAAAGGTGAAGTTCTGCCCGTCCATGGAGTACTGGAGCCGATACTTTTTCACCCAGTCTGTATTATGCAGGGGCGAACCTTGAGTAGCCACTGCACAGATGTTGTATCGAGCTGGAAACTCCACCTGAAGGTAATACCCCTTGCCAACTTCTCCAAGCGTGTTAGGACACCACGCGCCGTCATCTTTGTGTAGACGACCTTTCTGCGGTAGGTAGGCATGGAAAGGCTTCTGCCACGAAGAAGCTAAGACGTTTTCATCCGGGATCTTTCCACTCTCCATTCCGATTGGATAACCACGGCAAGCGACGTCTGAAATCGCGAGATATACAAAAAAACAGTTATAACTTAGTGAGTGTGCGGGTGCGGCGAGAGGGGTTGATTGGGTGCATTTGGACCTTCTTTTGGAGAAACATATGTTACGTTTATTGATTTAAAACCATGCAAATCTTTTGAATCCAAATTAATCTTTTGAATTGAATTTGACAGAAAGTTACCTACCCTTACAGCGCCGATTAGAGGTGTTACAATGATACGTGTTCCAGTATTCATACTGCAAAGTAAGCGTCAATGTAAGATCATCAGACACAATCAATTGGTTCAATGTACATCTCCTGTTTATTGGTTAATCTATGAACTGCCTCTTAACCCCCTCCCCCACGGGATAATTATTGACCTTGATTTACTTACACTTAATAAATAGATTTAGCCAAGCCTAAAAGCGGAGCTCCCAAGTTCGTAATATTAATGATAACATAAAAGATGTGCATTTGCCCAAGACTCGCCTGAGACACCCCTCCCTTCGTTTTGATAGTCTCCCCTACCCTACCCGTGCAATCTGAAAGTACGTACGTACTTACGCTCGGTCAGTCACGTGACAACCAAACGAAAAGAGGTTGACCATATTCCATGGGTATGGGACTCTGCCCCAAGCGCGCGCGTGGGAGCCACGCTATGATTAATGCAGATTTTATTACCATTCACTCAGTAAATGTGTGATGTCTCTTGATTAACTAGTGATAACTAGTTAATTTCCATTCCCAATTCCAGGTTGTATTGAAGAACTTATAAGCAGTATACCCATTCAAATAAAAGGTAACACCGCTATTTTCAACGATTAGATTTTGTCTCTGGTTGAATTCAAATTCAACTCTCTTTTAAATGAAAATAACATCTAGAAAATTTATCTAAGTGTATAAATTATCTCGATCAAATTTCCCGCGTAGAAATGAAAACTGCATCCAACATAAGCACTGAGATTATAACAATAATTGGTAGGTTAACGTTAAACTTGACGTCGATACAGAAATTATTGAATAACGACTAATTTTCCAATGAAATTAATATTCCACTCGTTTGTAAAAATGATAAAATCAAATGGACCTACCGACTGTTCCGAATGACCGTACTTTTCGACGACTTCTTCAAAGCTGCACGATTTCTCTCCGTAGCATTCCTCGTCGATGTCATCGTCCCAAAAGCGTTTGTAAAATGAATTAGCCTCTTTCTTGTTTAACACAACATCTTGAGCTCGGCGTGAAAGGCCTGTGTTTCGTGAAATAATCTTAGAGTTAACAAAACATTACAATCTTGTGACATGGTCTGACGATCACAAAAATATTCCAGAGTAAATCAGGACTTACTCAAGGAGGAATGAAAGGTAGTCGCAAGGACTAAGGCGAAAGTAATCCTGAACATTTCGTGGACTGTTCTTGTAAAAGGCTTTTTGATCTCTGCAGGGCTATGGTCTGGTGTTTTAAGGTTTGGCTCAGACACATCCCGCCGTTGGCGCAGCTAGGAAAACGGCTGACCGTCAAGAAACGCAAAACATTTGAATTCAAATGTCGATCAAAACATTCATTAAGGGGTAACATAGTTTAAAAGCAAACACAGCTAGGTTAATAATGCGAAAAATTTGCTTATCAGAGAATGGGCTAAAGGTTTTTTTAAGGGTCAATATTTACTATTTAGAAATACAATTGGCCGAAAATTACAATGGTTGGGCGAGCAACACTGGAGCATGCTTGTACTGATGCAAAACTATAACTGGGCGCGTTAATCTTGCTTTTACTTCTGATGGATTATCACTTTCTTTAGTTTCAGCGTTCATGTTATAATTCATTTTTAAATTTACACAAGTTTAGACCGAATCCTTGCGAAAAGATAACTGATGAAGGAATTCAGAGCATAACTGAATATGAAAGGAGCACGGGGATTGTGCACCAATATCACAATTTCACGAGACCTGTTCTCAGCCAAGCCCAGAGAAAAACAAATCAACTGGCGTGAAAGGAGTTCGTGAGCAAACATGTTTATTAAGTGCCTGCCCTCTGGCGTTTGTGCTTATAACGATGAATTAAACCTACGCATGATATAAGACGATTTTTAAAGCTGCAAGGCTATCTAAGATAATACATTTTCTTCTTTCAAACTGCAAGTGCACTAGCCTCCTGCCCTTTGCTTCTAGTCTTCTGTTGAAAAAGGACAGAAAAAAAATTGTGAAGATGATTAAGACGAACCTCTAGATAAAAATGAAGTGCTTGATGAGTTACCAGCTCAAACTTGCTAGCGACTTACGCTCTTCAAGTCCTCTCTCTGGGTTTTTATCCTTCCCAGCCCTTTTCCTGAGGCTGACTGCCTTATTGCATTATTTGCAGCCTTATCGGTCAGCCACCTATTGTAAGGAATTTCTAGCCCCTTTATGTTAATTGACAACCGTATTTGTGTCATCAGGGCCCGGGGTATATCTCTAAACCAAGTTAATTTGAGCAATTCCACGCGAACAGCCATGAAGGCAAACGGCTGATGAGCGAATATTATACTTTCGACATCATCCTTTTCTGCAAAAATGCTGACGAAATTGCACTTGATATGAATAGATTTTCTTCTATTTTTCGACGTTTTTAGACGTAGCTAAGTTGTTAAGGTTGTTTTCAATAGTCTAAAGCTCACCTTGCGAACAGCAGTCTCTCAAAAGACTCGAAATAATAGTGTGTAGGTTATTTCTTAAGTCCCTCTCTAAGACCCAGTGAGAACTTGATTTACTCTCCCATTGCTTTTACTAAGATCGTTTAAACAAAATTAGCCAATGACGTTATAGGATACGAACGGTGACTCCAACTAAATTCAATCTTGCCGGGCAGAGTTCCGAGCCATTGCAAGTCATTGTTAATTTCCTGCACAAATTTTTGTACGCAAACCTCCCCCCTCCCCTGCCCCTGTGAAAGGTGGTCGGAAAATTTAAAGTCTTAATAACTAGAAAAACCTTGAATTAAGAAGTTCAGCACTTTCCCCATTTGCCATCTTTGTCAAAGTCTGGTGTCGTCGCACACCATCGTCTGCCAAACGAGTATGAGATGCATGAAAAGTATCTCTCCCCCTTGAACATGAAGGGGAACACACAACATTGATTGTCCTGTGTTCTTACAGTGCAATCTGAAAAATGAAATAAATTATCGATCACGTTCAATTGTTATCATATTTGCCGGAGTCGAGTTCAAATTTGGTTTTGACTTACTGGCAGGTTTTCCGTAGATCTCAACGCGCATGCACGGCCAGTTGTTATATTCTGTGACAATAAACCGGACAAACATGGCCAGAACCGGTTCAGCGAGGTTCATCTTAAGCTTCTGACTGGCATCAATGTTACCGTGAAAAATCTGTTAAATGATAAAAGGATAAAAACAAATAAAGATGAAATAAAAAATTTTTTAAAAATCGAGTTTCCAGATGAGATGTTTTAAATTGTGTGAATCTGTTAGAGTAAGAAAAGGCATGAGAGAGAGAGAGAGAGAGAGAGAGAGAGAGAGAGAGAGAGAGAGAGAGAGAGAGAGAGAGAGAGAGAGAGAGAGAGATAGATGGATAGATAGACGGGTAGATAGATAGATAGATAGATGGGTAGACAGACAGATAGATAGATAGACAGACAGACAGATAGATAGATAGATAGATAGATAGATAGATGGATGGATGGATGGATGGATAGATAGATAGATAGATAGATAGATAGCTTTATTAAGAAGTAAAATCATTGCAGCCCCCGNGAGAGAGAGAGAGAGAGAGAGAGAGAGAGAGAGACAGAGAGAGAGAGAGAGAGAGAGAGAGAGAGAGAGAGACAGAGAGAGAGAGAGAGAGAGAGAGAGAGAGAGAGAGACAGAGAGAGAGAGAGAGAGAGAGAGAGAGAGAGAGAGACAGAGAGAGAGAGAGAGAGAGAGAGAGAGAGAGAGAGACAGAGAGAGAGAGAGAGAGAGAGAGAGAGAGAGAGAGACAGAGAGAGAGAGAGAGAGAGAGAGAGAGAGAGAGAGACAGAGAGAGAGAGAGAGAGAGAGAGAGAGAGAGAGAGAGAGAGAGAGAGAGAGATAGAGATAGAGAGAGAGAGACATCTACAGGCAACCTCTCTGGATATAACTCAAAGTAATGAAATTCCAGTAATTGACCAACAGTTTTGAAGCTTCAGAAAAGAGAAAGTGTGAGTGATATATATTAGTGTGCGATTATAAGGCAGTCTTCTGATTGTGTAAGCTATGTTTCATCAAAATTTATTTTTACCTTGTTTGCGCCATTCTCTTTGTACGTCACCCAGTTCTTCTTGTCCAGCGAGGTTTGAATTTCGTATTTCGTGACGTAGTCAGTATCATACAAGGATGATCCTTGTGTGGCTACTGCGCAAACTCGTGTACGCCGAGGAAGCTCGACCTATGGATAAGCAGGAGACATTAGCAGTGCTAATCGTATCGACTGAGAAGAATCGTCCTTGTCATCACCACCACCCTCACGGCCATCGAAGTCGACATCGTTGTCATTTATTTTGAATAGTAGATATCATCATCATTTTTACCACTAGGTTAAGGTTGAAACCTGACAAAATACTTTGAACTCCTACGCGCAATTTTTGTTATAAAAGGACTATTACTTTAGGGCTTAAATCGCTGGAACCGTGACTCATGTTATGCTAGTGAGACTCAATCTCATTCGTGGCGTGCCTTTTGCTCAGTGATGAAACATAAAAACATAAAAACACTTGTTAGGTCATTGGCACATCATAAAGCCAGTGCTCGGGTCAGTTGGCTGGCTGTTGCGGTTTTTTCACGTGCTAGTACGAAAATACCTGCCTTTGTGCCCGTGAGCTATAAGAATAAAACCAATTCCTTGCCTGAAGATAAGGTCTGGGGTCTTTTTCTGGCCGATTCGAACACCAAGCTCCTCTCTGGTTGTGTAATCTTCCTTGAAATGGCGCAAAATCTGAGTATGGCGAAAACCAGGAGGAAGCAACAATTCCTCCTCCGGAAACTTTTTGGAAATCTTCAACTTTGAGAGAGTTGTCGCGACAATCAAAGCCTGAAACGAAATTGAAGAGAATGAAATCTAAAACACAGGCACACGCTCCGAAGATATGAAAAATAAAATTAAAATCGTGATTAAAAGGAATTACTTGAGGAGTACAAAACTCTGGCCACAAGAATTAAAGCGAAAATTGCACGGAGCATCTTTGTGTTAGAAGCTTGTAAAGGCGTTTTCTCTCCGTCGAAAACGATTGTAATTTTTTAGCGCTTGTCAGTATATCCCGCTTTACGGATCAACTGGTAATTAAAAACGGTTAACTCTCAATTGACAAAAGAAGAAGTTCTCAACGTATTCACCGTCTAAATACAGCTAATTTAATAAGAAAGGTAATTTTTTCATCAAAGAAAGGAGTAGGGGTGCTGAAGGTAAATATTTGTTAAAAGAAAATGCAAATGACGGAAAACTTTCACAATGGCTGAATGAATCAGGCATCAGATAAAAAGAGACACGAATGACGGCTGAATTGATTTGCTCCGTTTGTTTTGCTTGCCCGTCTTGTAGATGAAATGTTGCTCATAGTTAAAGAAACATTGTTCTGGCAATTATTGTCAATGTATGCGCGGTTCGTTACAACAGATGAAGAAATCCTAAGTTTGTCTTATGAAGTATCGGAAGCGTGCGCAAAGAAAGAGCTCTGATACAGATTCTCAGCAAACGTCAGAAGAGCAGTATTACAAAAGTTATCGACTGTTTTTTTCCATTTTTTTAGATGTTTTTTTTTCTCGGGCTTGTGGATGTTTCTACAAAGGCCTTTGGCCTGTAACTATAAATTTTGAAGAAGGATGAGTATATCATTCTATGACGTCGGTCTCTCTATTAGGCGAGTATCAGCGAAGTGTCAAGCAAAGACGTTTCTGTCCTTCAACTCCATCTTGCTGGTTTAAGAAGAAAAAATGAGAGGGTGCGACGCCTTGTGAGGTAAACACGAAGTTACCCTCACATGTTATGCTCCTCACTTTATTTCATTCAATTCATTTTCTCACCATTTTGTTTCAGCTCTAACTCCAGCTCTACTAGTTTTGATAATATTAGAATAAGCTTAAGTGCAAGGTGCAAAGTACATCTGTATTGGCACTGGGAGTGTGCACTGACCCCCCCACCCCCCTCCCGGGAAGAAAATCTCCTTACGTATTTCGCACTGAACAAAGCCCACACGGACAAGTGTACGCGAACAAACACGTTTATTAAGTGACTTGTGTGCAAAACAGTGAAATTAACCTTATTGTCTCGTGTTCGTAATAATGAACACAGATTAAAAAGAAACTAATACGTGCTGGTGACTAGCCCCTGTACAGACAGAGTGCTTTCTTGAGCCAAATGTAAGTAGTAGAATCTGCCTTTACTTGGCGATTTCGTCTTGCAGCTCACTTCATGCGTTCAGGTCTCCTTCTGCGGAAAAAGAGAAAGTTCGGATACAATTAATTAAGAAATAACTGAGTGGGTAACCTCAAATTAATCATTTAAATGCCCTTTGAAGTCGTTTAGGAATGAGATTCAGGTTTTTTTTTTAATACACTCAGTGAAAAGTTAATCTTAATGTCCCGTATTATTCAATTTCAAGATTCATTTTCTTTCTAATTTCCTACAAAAATTTAAGGTCTGAAATCGTTCACAATTTTGTCATGTGGCTTCGTAGCTAAATTTGTAATGACACCTGGCTAGTGTCTGGGAAGTAGGACAGAGAACCCTTAACTCTGCTATTGTTGTTGTTTTTTTTTCCTGTACGCTCGCTTCGTTAAAATAAGTACAATGAGAAAATCTTGAACAGACCTAAGCACTCTCCCCATTTTTTATCTGTGTCATAGTCGGGTGTCGTCGCACACCAAGCGCCATCTAATAGGGATGATAAACATGTAAAGTGCCTTTCTCCTTCGTACATGAAGGGAAACACACAACATTCGTTTTTCTTTGTCCTAACAGTACAATCTACCAAAAAATAAATAAATAAATGAAAAGACATTAGTTGCATCAATCTGAGCAAAAAGAAAGGTTCTTTCTCCTTAAATATTAGATGAACCTTCACCTTTTTTAATATACTGTTGAAAGGAGCGATGAGGGGTGAGTTGGTTCTCAAAAGCTACGACGTTTAACCCTCAGTATAATTTCATGGGAAATCATTGATTATATATAAAAAAAACTACCTTAAAAAGGCAAGACATTGAAAAAGGTTAATCGGAGTCTTTTTGTGTTGTAAATCTCACCCTAATATTAATCAGTAGCCTTTCATACCAAAGTTACCGGGAAACTCTTTCGTTTTAATGCTTTACGACGTGGTTCAAAGTCTTTCTGTTTTGAATAAAACCCTACTGGATGAAAATTTGTCTAAAACTATCAATTGCAACCTTTTTTCCCGTGTTTTTCGCTAACTATGCTCTCATTGATTAAATATTATTCTAGTGTTTAAGTTTTTTGCTTAACGGGGCATAAAACATCTGACTGACATTTAAAATGATGCTGATGTGTAACTTGTTATGTTGCCAGCGACTTAAGGTTAAGTCTTTTCCATGAAGTGAACGACTGAAAACAAACAATCCTTGATCGACTGAAAGGTTTTTTTTTAATTCCTTTCAATGACTTACTTGCAGGTGTTCCGTAAACCTCAACGCGCATGCACGGCCATTCGCTGAATTCTTTGACGACAAACCGGACAAACATGGCCAGAACCGGTTGATCGAGGTTTATTTTTACCATGTTCCCAGCGTTGGTGTTACCGTGAAAAATCTGTCGAATAATAATAATAATAATAAATAAATAAACTTCTTATTACCGAAAAACGTATTAGTTAAGTGAGAGAGTCGTACTAAAAAACAAAAATATTAACTTGTCTGAATTTGATACAATGAAATATATGAAGTTCATATATTTTGAACTGCGGTATTAGATACGTATGATGCACGATCCTCGCAGTAGATAGCGCTATTTAAGCAATAGCGAAAATCAGACCTGAAAAAAATCAAGCCTGTACGGGATTAGAACCACTGATCTCTGCGATACTAGTGCAGCGCTCTACCAATTGAGCTAACAAGCCAACTGNAATAACGACGAAGCAGTCCCTGAAAACACAGAGAAAGCGACTAAATTTGGTTTGGCCGTGTTTAAAGGTAATGGTAACCGGGAGTTTATCGATAAAAACCAATGAAAAAGGTTTTGTTTACAAATGCAAATTAATCTTGCGTAACCTCACTTGTTCACTTGAAAATCAAAGTTGAATGGTATTTTTTACAGAATGGTTTCAAATACAGAAAGAGTTTGCAACACCATTTGAAGAAATGTCGCCAAACAATTTTATCAGTCAGCGAAAAAACGAGACGGCAGTTTTTACAACAAAAAGTCACTTACCGCGATCCGAGCCGCGTTGGATCGTTACGCGGGGGAAAATGTTGGAATCGTTGCTGGAATGTATGAATTATGATCAATTTTTGGTGGCGTATATTATCTCACTGTTTTAGTATATACTAAAACAACTATGCACCTCAGTGTCGGTGGTTAGCGGTGGATATTTACCTCGTCGCTTCGCGGCTCGGTAAATATCCACCACTAACCATCGACACTGAGGTGAATAGTTGTTAATTGTTATTATTATTATTACTGAGCAGGAGTAGTTATTGAAAATTCTCACCGAAGCGGAGGTAAATATTCACCACTTTCACCGAAATTGAGGTAAATATTTGTTTTAGTTCAAACAAAACCAAAAGCACCCCCTCCCTAAAAAAAACATCAAACTCTTTACTCGCGATTTTACCCCTTCGGCTGTCAGAAGGTGAATAGCACTTACTAATCACTTCAAATTAGCTTGTCAGCGCGCGCAAGGCACTACTTTCCTGTCTGCTATAAAGTATGTTTCTTTTATCCCAAAACAAAGGAAAATGCCGAGCCATCCTTACCTGAAGATAGGGTTTTGGATCTTCTTCTTGCTTGTCCGCACACCAAGATCCTTTCTTGTTGCCCAATCTCCCCTGAGATGGTGCGAAATTTAAGTGCGATCTGAGCCATGATGAAGCGATAATTCCTCCTCCGGAAACTTTCTTCGGATCTTCAATTCCAACGGAATTCCCGCGGCAGTCTTTGTCTAAGACACATTAAGGGAAAAAATCAACTTCAGAATGTTCAGCGTGACCTTAAATTGTAGGGTTTAAACCTCAGTAGAGTATAGTCGCTTCTGAAACACTTACAGAAACAAAATACCGATTGGCGCTTGGATAATTTCGATGACGTTTTGATTGTAAGCTAAAAAAAGCCCCGCTGACTACTACTTTGTCGCCCAACGGCTGTTTTATTGGTTTTTTACTCTTTCTAGTTCACGCACCAGATAACCGCAGAAAATTTGTTAATTTTTCTAGAAGTCTTAAGTGGTAGAAGTACATTCAAAACGATAATAATGATGCAGTTGTTGATGACGATGTAATATCAATGATTGCATGTTGCAGTGATGATGATAACGTTTACATCGCGGATCATAATACAGTTACTACTGGCAATACCTTCACAGCCCTTTTGAAATTTCTCACATTGGTAAGTGTTCCAATACTCGTACTGTAATTTGTTGAGACAAAAAAAAAAAGAGATTAATACCTCAAAGTAACAATATATAACAATCTTTACGGTCTTCCTCGTTCCCTTGCTTTATTGCACGAAAAAATTACATGAAAAAACTACGCGCGTCTGATTGTCTGAAAACGAGCGCATTTCTCCTGTAACCCTAGTGCAAATTCCAAATAGCACGTGTGCGCAGTAAAAATCTCGTCTGTCTTGACTTTCTGTGATGTTTTATTCTTGTAATATATCATCAAGTAACGACATGCACGAAAAATTGCACGAGCCCATAGGGCTTGATGTCTTTGATAAAATTACTCGTGCCTTTAATGCCAAATTGCATTGGAAATCATGTCATTACCTATACAAATTTAGTGAAACTGTGCTGCTAAACTGTACTGCTAAACTGAAGTTACGAGGGCTCTACCGGAGAATGGATAGAAGATTCTTTTCCATTTCTGATTTCTTTACTACAATACAAAGTGTGGCAAGATTTCCGTATAACCCCATACTTCATTATGCATACACTGATTAAAGAGCAAACACAAATACTAAATCAAGCCAAAAAAAATCTTACCGACTTTTCCTTGTGGCCAAAATGATCGACAACCTCGTCAAACGTACACCCTTCTTCATAACACTCGTGGTCAATATCTTTAAACCAGCCAAAAAAATTGAATGCCTTTTTTTTGTCTAAGACGATCTTGTCACGTTGAACCAAGCGACCTTAACAATAGATTACTTCAGTCATTATTGAGTCATTAGTAAGATTCCGTGCATTTAGCATATATCACTAATTACGAACCATTATCTGTTTTCTCTTTCGTTGAATATTTCAGTCTTCTTTCCCGAACAAACATTTACATTTGGTGAAATAAATCTAAAAGTATGACCGCTTAACGATGGCTGGCAATGCTATATGCAGCAAAAGAAAAATATTTGTTTCTCGGCATGTTTTTATTGTGTTTGGAAATACAAACACGAGAAAGGTGAAAATCACTGCTCCAAACTTCCCGCCGAAACTCCATGGCTCCTCATTAATGTAAATCAATGCAATAGCTTTGGTTAATAAACAGCTGACCAGCTGTAATATCGTGCGCGCATATTTTAGTATCTTATTGACGAAGGTTAAGGCCCTTTTAGTTTGAGCTGGGGAGAATCTTGATGTGCTTTTAGAAATAATCTACAATTTCCTATTAAAATACCAAAAAAAAGCTCTAATTCAAAACATCCATTCCGTGCTTAGATCATCAAGAGTTTTTTGGTCTTTTTTGGTTATGCATGGTTGGGAAACGTCTGTGACGGGTTCATTTAACGCTTTATTCGAGGTAAAATGCTTGCCGTAAAGGCGGAAACTTTCTTCGTTCTGTACAATTATACTTATTTCCGCATTAAAAGGTGTACGGGGGCATATACTTACCATGGCTCGATTCTGATAGAGTCAACAGGACAACAAATGACATTAAAAACCTCATTTCTGCACCAGACACTGAAATAAATCATAAAAATGAATAAACTTTATATGCAGCATAATTACATTAGCGCCAATTCCAACTTTAACCATAAACCGCCTTTTCTAGAGGGATTAACACTAAATAAATTACACTAATTATGCTGAAAAAACAAACGAAAGTTTTCACTGATTGGTTGTTACGTTTTTTTTTTCCATACTTTTCAGTTTAATAAAATGGTAATTGACCTGCGCGTTCGTGTGAGAATAACAACAAGTATTATTCAAAGCCTTACCAAGGGTATGATTTTATTCATTCGGAAAAGGCGCGCAAAATAAAGTGAGTTACGAAGGAGAGCTCGAGTAATATACCAAACAGATCAACAGTGCAGCGAAAACCATGTCCCGTTTATCAATCATATTACGTGGAAAATATAAAAGAGTTATGAATAATTTCTGCAACAACAGCTAAACGGAAAAATTGTAAATTTCAGGAACAAATGGGTGGCACCTTCAGAGAGGTTAAAACACTTGTTTCGGTTGTGATTGCGGTAAAAATCTTGGAAACCCCAGAAAGCATTTATTAGGAAAGGTTTAGAAGTTAACCTTGCATGATCATGACACGGAGTTAAAAATTAATTCTTACCGTTGACGATGGCTTTTATCCCTGACTTCACGGGGTGATTGCACGGACGGACTGTTACACGTAGTTATCAAGGGTCCTTATTTATTCAGGCTGAGAAGTGTCAATGGTTAATGATAACTGTTGTCTATTCTGATGACAATTGCAACGAAATTTACATATCCCATTGAAGCCCAAGGCACTGCCATCAATTAGCTGGAAGACGTCTTGTACCAAGATTGCACGAAATTATTAAAAGAAAAGCTGTAGTAAGTTTAACTGCCTAATCAACTCGAAATGGAAATCCACATTTTGAAACAAAACTTCCTTTTCAATAATTTTATCTACTAGGAATTTAAAATTGTGGTTTTTGATCTTGTTTAATTTTGTCGATAGTATTATTCATTTATTCGAACGAAATGGAAGAAATAAACTGCACCGGCAGATAGTTACCAGCCAAAGTAATTGCACAAATTTGAGGCTGGAAAAAGAAATTAGGATATAAACGGGCTCAACGACCCTTGTCTCCCAGATAACGATTGGGTGGTACTTTCAAATGAACAGCCGGTCTTTTATTTGAGGCAATCATCAGCTGCAGTAAATTTTACTTTTCCCCTTGAGATAGTTACCGCGCAAAATCAGCCAACCATTGCTTCAAATTAGGTGCTTCACGAAGTGTGTAACTGAGAGATTTTCGACTCGTTTTTTATGGGCATTTAGTCAGTTTGGCTGATAGATGTTTTCATCACTTTAAATACTGATGATGTAAGTGTTCAAGCGAGTAGAAAGTTACAGTATATTACTTGAGCCTTGTCAAGATCATTCATATTAAGAGAAATTAATTTATCCATGCAACCATTAGTAATAAAATTCCCTTTCTTTGGACGATATAAGGACATGGAAAGACGACGTCGCAGGCACGCAACAACTGATGAAAGAATCAATCAAAACTACAGTCCCCTAATTTTTCTAAAAAGTTTTAAAAATATCCACACGTTCTATGCGTCATGTAATGTGGCTATTCGCTTTCTAAGAAGTGTCAGAAGAATAGAACATTGAATCAGGGGAGGGGGGTGGGGGAGGTATATCTAAATATAGAAAGGGGTTCCCATAAAAGCCCCATCCTCTTCTCTATTCTCACCGTGGAGGGTTAGCTGTCAAGGATGGCGAGTCAGAATGACACAACAGCTTTTACCTGAATCTGCAGAGATAAAATCTTTCTCGGCAACCATGAAAAGAAGAGTATCCTATTGACGGGAGGCGAGCCTTTTTCCTCTTTCTTAATTGCAAGTATAGTAGATTGGTGTAATTTTCCGCCGATTAACCAAAACTTCGTGCAAATACAGAATTCGCACGCGAAACTGTACCAGCCATCTGGTGGAAATGATGATGTTTGATAGAAGTAACATTTGTTTTGTTTTTATTGTAAAAATAACAGTTATTCGTAATACTGATTTGGTAATGTGCACTATAAATTGATGGTTGTAATAAGAATAATTTCTACTTGTGACTATTCCCCCAAGTTTCTTCTGAATATTGCTTCTCAAGGCTTACAAATATTACCTAGCTAATCTTATCGTTTGTATTCTCACCTACATTTTTAAGGTAAGTAGGAAATGTTAAATTACGTGTCTTGTTTCAAATGAAATTACCTTCACCAGATTTAACAATATTCCATGACTTAATTGAAACAGTTTTTCGACGGATAAGACAGCTATCTACACATTTCTTGACTTTAAAGCAGCACGAAAACTCAGTTTTGATTTACCAAATGGCTTTACTAAGAACAACCTGTTTGAATCAGTATTCTGTAAGTATTAGACTTGACTAAGTTTATTATTCGTTTTTAAGCCAAACCCGAACGTGATGACAGCGAATCTGCCTCGCAAGCGAATCTGACGCGGATGGAAACTTCTTGAGATTAATTACGCCACTTCGTGCTAGCCAAAAATACCTGGCTAAATACTTGCTCATTTGCTTTCTAAATTTTCCTGCATCCGAATTAGGTTTCATTGAAGTTTAGCATGACTCTTACCGCCCCATTTATCTTAGTTTATTTTCTGAAGCCTTAGCAGCTTTTAAAATATACCATTGCCGTGCAAAATTAGCAGACAAACAGAAAGTTGTCTTGATTGAACTAAGCTCAGGGGTCAGGGGGACAATTCATTCATCTACGCCATAACGAGCAAATTTACCAGCAGTACAGTTTTACTAAACCTAATATAAGCTTAGTTTAATAAATTTAAGATGTAAAGTTCGAAAATTCACGGCTCAAGGTAATTCGTGGATAATCACCTCTGCAAACAAAGAAACAAACAAAAACATTTCAATTGCACATCCTAGCAAATCTACCATAAGTTCTCCTTTTACAGGTCATAATCGATCAATCTCCATTCGACATATTCGTAACCTACCTTATCTTATATCGAGCTTATCTCTTTCCTTTTTTATTACTTTTCTAATACCTGTGGCTTGGTAGAAACTTAAATTCATGAGAATGGGATAAAAAGCTCATGAGAAGTCTGGAGGGAAGTGGCCTGGGGGGAGGTATAATTTCGTCGCCCCATGCCTATCCCTAACTTAATTCTCGCGGCTTCTGTAGTAAAGCCATATGGAAAGCGAGAGAACTATCGAAATATGACACAGATCTGTTTTGAGTGGACTGTATGGTATGGTAACTAGCTATAGTTCATTGCTTAATAAAGGTATTACAGTGCTTTATTACACGACTCGGGCAGTCAGAGGGCCAATAACTTTAATCAACCATTCAAAATGCTTTATTGCCGGTCCAATATTCTCCAATTATTGGACCGGGCACTGTCCCGAATGGTCCCGAATGATACCGCACTTGTGTCCCTTTGAACTTCAGTCGTATAATAAATCTCTTATTAACCAAGCTTGCTCGGGACCGTACTGGAAGAATATCGGCCCTCGGTCTTTTTTGTACGGACCTCGCTGCGCTCGGTCCGTACTGTCAAGACCACGGCCCGATATTCTCCCATTACGGCCCTCGTGCTTGGTTAATAAGATATATGTATTACTATAAAGGATTTGAGAAACTTACTTGACGTGGTGGTGACAGTTTTTACAACAGTCTTTACAACAGGTCCTTTTTCGATCATGGTTGAGATCTGATAGATGACATTTGAATCCAGAGAATCTATCGAGTTATATTGAAGCACGCGCTCAGGTGATCCAAGTGCTATTTGGACCAGCTCTGATTTACTGACTTTATCGGATAGTCCAACGGCGATTATGTTGGAAGAACAATTCTGAAAAAAAAAAATCAGACGAAATAATCAGCTGAAATTAATTTTCATGGTAGCCATTTGAAACTGAGTTAATGAGTGCAATTATTTCTTTCGATTATATATATTTCTGTGAAGATCATTGGGATATAAATTTACCAGCAAGTAATTATAGAAAAGTTTCATTGTGTGATTCCGCTACACCGGTATACTGACTAGCAATGCGCGGAATGAACTTGTAGCACTAAGAATACGAAGCCATAGGTTTGGATCTTTAAAATTCTTTACAAGAAAGTAATGCTCTCACGATGGTTTTGTAGAACACTTTAATTAAAAGTAAAGCATTTTTGTATACCTTCATAATCGGTGTGACAATAGAGTACGGGATCGAACCGGCGTCAGTTTTTTTAGAGGTGAAAAGTACCATCACATTCTCTTCTTCCGGTCGGTCCTTGCACCCCACGGGACAGAACAGCTTCCGGCTGGCGTACAGCATAGCGAGATCCGTGCGGTGCCCTCCAGGGACATACCACATCCCTTCGATGATCACCTTAACGTTGATGTACTTGATGTGCCGCAGAGTCATTATAAGCTCAGGTCTGTCGCTGTAAATGATGAGACCGAACTGAACATTCGGGAAATGCTTACTGATGTATATGACCAGCCGAGATATGAATCCTTTAATCGTCTCAAATTCGCTTTCGGTTACGCCAATCACAATTCCTATGTCCATTCCCTTTGGAGGGACTGTTGTAGGAATAGGTGGATTCAATAGAGGCGGAGGTGGAGAACCCTTTTTTTCCCCCGTCGGAGTCTCTGGAGTAGGGGTATTTTCTTCTGTTATTTCTTCGTCAGGCTCTGTAAAAGAACATAATAAGCAGAACATTAAAGTCCATAACTGCTTTCCCTTGCATGAAGATGCAACACAATCATGTTTATTTTGTCTTGAAAAAGAAATCATAGTAGTAGATAAATAGATAAAAAAGTAAACGATAAATAATTTTGATGCTCTGACCAAATTCAGCAAACAGGTTAATGTTCTTTAACTAATGTTTTTCCTTTTCAATTTGTTATCGAAGATTTAAAGACACATTTTCAATGCCCTCGGCGGAGAGATGTACTAAAATGACGCACCACATAAGTCTTTTTTTTTTTTGTACGAACTGGTTAATATATTATTATTGAGAGAAAATCGAGGGACTATTTTCCATTGCTATTACTCAATCATCATTACCTTTTGGGTGAGGAAACTTTCCAGTTGCTGAAAGAAAAGAGGAGAAAGCATCAGGTGCAGTTGCAGGAAAAAAGATAATTTCTTAGGGATATTGACGGTATTTGAATGCACAGAAATGCTCGGAAAAAGGTTCACACTCAGCTCGTGTGATCCATCTACCCCTGACATTGAAAGGCAAGATATCGTCAGCATTTCAGAAAATTACAATAAAACTTATCATATGGGTTCCTCAGTACTGCATCTTTTCCTGTATTTCAACGAACGCCTCTGGAAAGCTTGTTTACTTGGTTGACCTTTTCAGTAGATATCAACAACTATAACAGCAGCATACTGACGAATATTTCACGAAAATTCACGAAACTACGCCTAACTACGCCAGCAACGGCACAAAATCAAGCGGCCGAACCAGAAAGCCACGACACGAAATAACACGACTAAGAGGAAAACAGAATGAATATTTTGCATGTATATTAATATTAAGTAATCACATCATTTTTCAGTACAATTTGGGATAAATCAGCCCTATGGGTTCGTGCAATTTGGTTAGCCTTTGAAAAAAATACTTGTGCTGATTAATTCCAAATCATGAGTTTCTCGAAATCATGTAACTTGTACAGTATACCAATTCTTTTTTAATTTTACAAGCAGTTTATGAGAGTAATCAGCTTTCTCACCTATTGCATATATTTCCCCCTTTAAACATGGGAATACTTCATACTGCATGGGGTAAATACGAACAAACTGCCCACGTGTGGGTTTTGGCAATCTCTGAAGTGATGGATCGACTGAGTTTACGTTCCCCTCCATGACCTAAAATAGCATGAAACTAATTTACTGTTTGAAACATGGTTTAAAAAGAAGAAAAGAAATAGAAGAAGATCTCATGCATGTCATCGTCTTGTCACAAGCGCGGGACGAAGAAACAGTTCCGAGTCCCCATGAGGATGAATCGAACCTCAGACTCACAGGTCTCGCGCTCTGATGCTCTTCTACTATTGAGCTACAGAGGCTCAATGGTGAATAAGACCATTTTGATCACGAGGTTAAAATGTGACACGCATCCTGCATCCTGCTGGGATCGGTAGTGTCGAAAGCATCACGTGTGTAAACAGAATAAGATAGATGATAAATTTCCTCGTAGTATGCTCTTTCTTAAATATTCATTAAAACCTTTGCATTCTTCTTTAAAATGTCAATGTGTTCTCATGGGGTTACCCGTTAGCCGTAAATTAGCTGTCAGGTGTAAAAATTGACTGACTTAAACCGTTAGTCATAAAAAGAAATAACCGTAAATGTTTTTTCTTTTAATCACTAAAGAAGGAAATTAACCATTGGCCTTAAAATGGCCAAACTTTCAACTGTAAGCTGTAAAGGCCATCACCCTATCAACACCCTCTTACAAGGCATTCTTACCATTTCTTCCCATGATTCCTGACCGTCTGGGGATATCGCAACGGTATACCTTTTGACCCAAGCTCCAAAGTCTTCAAAACCTTGCATTCCAATGGCACAAACTGACATTTCGGTTGGTAATTCAATCTGAAGGTAAGTGCCTGGTTTGAAATTTTCTACCGGACACCACGCCGAGGGACCATTCAATCTAGCTTTGGACGCGCTGTAATCGTCTCCGCTGTCAGAGGAAGCCGAAAAACTTGAGTCCGGCAGGGCACCTCCGTATTCTGCACCGACAGGATCACACTGCAACTCTAGCGCAAATTACGATAAAAAAATTAAACGACGGTAAGAAAACTTCGTATACCTAATTATGTGATCGATAATTTTAGATACTGTTCAAGAGATTATAATCTGAGATACAATGAAATATATGAAGTTCATATATTTTGAACTGCGGTATTAGATACATATGATGTACGATCCTCGCAGTAGATAGCGCTATTTAAGCAATAGCGAAAATCCCGTTATTACAAAATAACATCCCGTTATTAGATGCGTATGATACATCATATGCATCTAATACCGCAGTTCAAAATATATGAACTTCATATATTTCATTGTATCGCATTTATCACTTTCACGGGTTTATTACGAATCAACTTAACNTGGTAGAGCGCTGCACTAGTATCGCAGAGGTCAGTGGTTCGAATCCCGTACAGGCCTGATTTTTTTCAGGTCTGATTTTCGCTATTGCTTAAATAGCGCTATCTACTGCGAGGATCGTGCATCATATGTAGATTATAATCTCTTGCTATTGTTATCGATATTGTCAAAACGAACTTTTTTACTTGATGGTTGCCACCTTTCCTTAAATATGGGGCTCCTCCGCCCCTATTATTCTCGCATAGAATTCCTTGAAAACCGAAAAAAAAAAAAAACAAAATTTGAATCGACCACAATAAGGTTGTGACAAAAGACTTTTGAGATTCTGTCTCAGTCAAAAAAATTCCTTCAAATAGCATGAAAAATTGAATTTTAAAACCTTTTTTCGAATGAATATCATTTCAGAAGATTTTGAAAAAACATGACTAAGCTGTTATGGTCAAGATATCGATGCTGCAAGAGGAGGAACAACGAGATTTTTTCGTATTTTCCCTTTGTTACCAAAGAGTCTCAACTTTTCCTGCGGAGCCGCGGTAGTTTCCTCTATAATCTTCTTTGTAGAAGAAAGATTATGAAAATAAAATCAATATAAATCAAAGTATGTTGTGAGAAGAAGAATAAAGATTGTAGGTTGTGTCACCTTAAGTAGGAGGCGAAATTTCTTCTCCTCCTTTAAAGAAAGAGGACAACGTGAATTTGATTAAAGGGGTTGAGATTTACTTGGCATGATATTAGATCAAAGGTAAGCAACGAAAAAAAAAATGAATATTTGCGCATGCTGTGCGCAAATCCTCGGAGTGACCATTGATAAAAATCTATCATTCAGCGAACACATAAGTGCCATCTGTAAGAAAACAAGCCAGAAAGTAGCAGAGCTAATGAGCCTACGCAACCTTAGACCCTACTCACCCAACCTTCAACTCTACAAATCTGTTATTTTACCGCATCTGACGTACTGTGGCATTGAGTGGCATTTCTGCAAAACTGCCGATAGACGTAAGCTCGAACGTATTCAAGAACGAGCACTGAGAGCAATTTTTAAATCTAAGGTGGACACGTACAGTACTTTACTAAACAGAGTCTCCCTATCAACTCTATATGAAAGGAGATTACAAAGCATAGCTACACTCATGTTTAAAGTTAAAAACGGATTAATGCGACTCTATATTACAGAAATATTCCAGTCTACCTATAAAGGCTATGAGCTTAGGAACGCTGATTTTAATATCCCGCGGGTAAGAACGTCCCGTTACGGCAAACACTCACTTCGTTACTTTGGACCGTACTTATGGAGGAAGTTAAGCGTCAGTGATCGGGAGAAAACATCTTTAAACGATTTTAGACAAAGCATAAAGAAAGGAAACCTGACCGAATTGCTAAAAGACACCTGCGTGGACTGTGAAATCTGCTTATAAAATAAAATTTTATCATTCTGTATAATTTTTAGCCATCTAAAAGTATTATTAGTATGTAGATAAGGCTCCAGTTTTACATTTGAAATTTTACTCTAAATGTGTAAATAACTAATAAATTTATATTTAAACTTCTTTAGGTTAAGTAACTAAGTAGTGTCCCCAATTAGTTTTTACACCTGTAAAGCTAAATACATTGACACTTGAATAAAGGTTTCATTAATTCATTCTCGAAGATGAAATATCAAGGATTGTTTCATCTTCACCTTCACCAGGAGGCGGGATAGTTTTTTCTTCTTCTCTCAGATAGGAGAAATAAATAAGTTAGTATTTGTGCATGTTTCAAGGTTAATGATTAACGCGTTAACCTGTCTGACCTTCAGGAGCCGTGGTAATTTCTTCTTCTTCTTCTTAAAAAGAAACAAGTCAGGAAAAACAAATCAATGTGCAGAATTCGTGAATGGTGGTCGATAAAGATTACTATCAAAAGTTGTCTCACCTTTTCCAGGAGGTGATGTAGTTTCTCCTTTTCCTCCAGGAGGCGAAGTAATTTCTTCTTTGAAAAAGAAGAGAACATAAAGTTGATATCAAGAAAGGCATGTTGTTAAATGAAAAACTGAAAAACAAAATTCAAAATGTATTTCACCTTCAGGAGGCGGTGTACTTTCTCCTTGTCCTTTGAGAAAGAAGAAAATACGAAGTTAGTCTCCGAGAACGAAGAAGTGAAAAACAGAAATACAAAATTATCTCAGGGTTGAGAGGAGTAAATACAACAAACGTTAACTAAGTGAGTACTTTTCAAGGCGGCATTATTTCGCGTACCTGTTTCAGAAGGTGGTCTTTCTTTTTCTGTGAGAATTAAAAAAAGATACGCACGGTTAGCACCACTGAAATCTTTTGCATGCTTTTTCCATGTGACAAAATGTTTCCTCATACATTTTGACATTTCCACAGAATGAAACTCTGAAAATCTTTCTTTTTTTCATTGAGAAAACAAAAGGAGAATGTCCTGCCTAAAATTTTCCGATCAGTGGCTGAGACTGTAGCAGTTTATGTTGGTTAAAAAGGGATTTACCTTTTCCATATAGCTCTACTCTTAAACACGGCCAACTTTCATATGACAATGGGTAAATGCGAACGTAGTTGGCCTTTACAGGAACTGGTAAAACTTGTTTTGATATTTCTCTAGGACCGTCATTGCCCTTGAAGACCTGTATAGGGTTTTCAAAAATGAAATAAAAAATATCGGATAATAAGGAAATGATGGCATTGATATTTAGTAAATAAACTCCTTCGGGCCGCTGGTATGTCGGCTGATAATGTCTGCGGCTGATAGATTGTCCGAAAAATGAATATTTGGCCGAGAAGCGAAGCTTCGAGGGCAAATATGAAATTTTGAGGACAATCTCTCAGCAAGGACATTATCAGCCGACATACCAGCAAGCCAGAACGGGGTTTATTTATTTTATAACCCTCCCATTAATTTTCACGCCGCAATTAAACTGCGCGTAAACACAGTAAAAAAGCCAGTGGTGATCTAATGGCGAATGCGCCATTGTCGCAAGCAAGCGAAAAAAAAAAAAACGAGTTTGGTTTTCTTTCCATTTAAATAGGAGAACGGAAAAGTTGAAACTCTTGTGTTGACTATGTTTCTTTTTCACGGAAAACATTGGAGGACAAAGATCGACGCGGACGGGGGTTATTGCGTGATAACTGTCCTGTGATTTTGCACCACGCGACATAAAGTAACCAATGAAATCGCCCAAAATTAATGGGTGGGTTATAAATGTATATAAATATATATAAATATACATATACATATCGTCGAAATATCAAAACATTTTTAGATAAACACGAGTGACTCGCGAGCAGGAGAGCCAATGTTCCGAAGAGATTTCTTTAGGGCTCATACGCAGACAAAAAAATTGACATAAAGACCAGTTATAGTTGCAGCTATGATATTGTTATCCTAATAACTGACTTAAGAATAACCGTTATCATTAACTGTCAGCGATGCGTTTATTGTTCCCGGAAAGGTTTTGAATTTGGGAGAAACATTTGATTCAACTTGACCTTAATGATGGCTTTAAGATTGTCGAAAGCTACGGTCTCTACTATTGACGACAGTCCTTCTCAGGACTACTCTCACTCTATGATCAGACTTAGTGATCGAATTTATCATTATCTTTACAGTAACGGTTGTCTTTATCACAATCGTTTTAATTGCCGGTAACGTTATCGTTATTGTCAGAGGCGATGGTTACCGTTAAAAAGACCTACCCCCTCTGAAAAGCAGTATAAACAACCTAGAGATTAGTACCTTCAAATTTCCGTCTCCGTCCTTAATTTCGTGCCATTCTTCATCATCAACTGAATACGCAACAAAATATTCTGTGACGTAGTCCATTCCTTCCTCAACTCCAGTCCCTTGAAGAGCAATGGCGCAGATAGTATCCGCTTCCGGTACGTGAATCTGTAAAAACTCTTGGCCAGCGGATACGCCAGCGGGACACCAGGCGAGCGGTCCATTCAAGCGACCATTGAAGGGTTGAAATTCATTTGTATAGGTCGAGGTTGCAGTGAAGCTTGACTTGGTTAATTTTCCACCTTCCTCTGCCCCAAGAGCGTTCTCGTCGCATGGAATTTCTTGGAAAAAACATTTGGGTTGACGTTATTGCTCACAAATAGTCACGTAGCAGAGGACCCTTAAGAACAATTTTAAATAAAATGAAAAGCGTACTTTTCAAACTTTTTCTAGTGCTGCCCACTTCAGAAGATTTTAAATGAATAAAATGTATTTCCTCTTAGGTCTTACAAGAGTCTCAAATTCTCCTGGAGTCGAAATAGTCTCTTTTTCTTCTCGGAGGAAAGAGAAGAAAATGAACTTGATATAAATCTAAGCAGGTCAAGCTTTTTGTCAGAACAAACATAAAGATTGCAATTTGTCTCACCTATGGCAGGGGGCGAAGTTTTTTCTCCTCCTTGGAAAAAAAAAAGGAATAGCGATCAATTTTCGTACATGCATTGCAATGAAGAATAAATAGCAAGAATTGTGGGGTGAAGTAGTGTTTTCTTCTCCTTTCCAAAAAGAAAAGACAAGGTTGGTATTAGTGCATGTTCAACAGACATTAAAACTCGTGTTACCTTCAGGGGTTGAGGTAGTTTTTTCTTCTCCTTAAAAAGAAAGAAACGAAAATGAAAATCAATATTCATGCACGCTGTGGGGGCAAAGTTGTTTTTTCTTCTTCTTTCCAAAAAGAAATGACAAGGCAAGGTTGGTATTAGTGCATACTCGAGGTAAAAACAGATATTAAAGCTCGTGTCACCTTCAGGGGCTGAGGTAGTTTTTTCTTCTCCTTAAAAATAAAGAGACGACTATGAAAATGAATGGTCATGCATGTTATACGATAAAGAATAAACATCACAAGGCGCCCTTACCTTTACCAGGCGGTGAAGTAGCTTCTTCTTTCCCTTTTTTTTAAAACGAGAAAAAATGCGATAGTATTCGTACATATTTTAAGGTGAGGGATAAACATGACAAGCTGTCTTACATTTTGGGGAAGAGGTAGTAACCTCGCAGTCTCCCCACGAAAGAAAAATAAATAAAAAAAATAATATAAAAAAGACATATAAATATTTTGCATGCTGCAAAATTGAGAACAAATGTCAGGAGTTTCCTCACCTTTACCAGGAGGCGCAGTAGTTTTTCCTTTTACTTAAAAAAGAGTAGAAAACAAAGTTAGTGTTCATGCTGTGCGATGAAAAATAAATTAACAAAATGTCTCACCTTCACCAGGGGGCGGAAAAGTTTCTTCTCCTTCGAAAAAAAAAAAGAAAAGCAAGTCATAAGAAAATAATGCGGGAATAAAACAAACAAACAAAAGATCAAAGGCTCCTTAGAGCAACCTCATGGTATGAAGTTTTGGCGCCCTTGACGTAACCTGCCATCTGGATTTCTTTGGAAAGTTTTTTTGATCGTGGGCAACAAGTGCTGGCACAATTATTGTGTTTCACGCTAACCAATTTTGGAGTAAGCTTAAGCTCACTTCATATTCCTGGTGTTTGGGTCTTCACGCCCGAATTGTTCATGTTATCGTCACTTTTTAGGACTCAGATGCCCATTTCTCTGCAGTCCAGTTTTCTGTAGCATATTTCCTTTCCATTTTTGGCTCCACAAAGGTATGTTTTGATCAAGTTTGGAATAAAAAAACCATCACGCTTCAAGGGATAGGACGCCATTTTGAATCTGTCCAAGTAGTTCAGCATATTCTCGCCTTTGTACCACCCCCCAAATATACGTACACCGTGACTTTGAATAGGTTAACTCGTCGAGGAGGAGGAGAAAAAGTGTTTAATCCAGGTTTAATGCATAAATTAATGTCTAAAAAAGCGAGTGAGTGATTTTTAATTGAATTTCGCCCCCAAAACCTAAACCCCATAGTATGACTTACGTTATATATACCATGAGGTAAAAATAAGGTAAAGACAAGTCTATGTTATGAGATGCACAATAAACATTATAAGATACTTAAACTCAAGAAAGCGATACTGATACGGGCATTCTATTCAGCAGGCAAAGTAGTTTTCTTTTCTCTTGACAAAGAAACATTACTATTTTCTAAAAAAAAACTCAATTCAAAGCCTAAAACGCTTATATGTATATGTAACGGAATTTGCCTCTCTAATAGAGTTTTTATATATGGTTATCATCTTGGCGATATCATAATATAACCAAAGGTGGTTTAGGATGTAACCTGCCTTTGTGTGATAATACAATGATCATGTCTTTTATTTGCAATGACCATTTTTTCTCTTCAAGGAGAAGATTTAGTTGTAATCACTTGAATACTTAACGCTGCTGTGCAATCATAATAAAATATTGTCTATTACTTTTTCAGTGGCTTTCGCTATTTTGGGGAAAAATTACCTGGTGTTGAAGGTTTCTCTTCTTCAAATTCTGTGAATAAAAGTTACCAGTCAGTTATATACCTCTATGATCAGTAAGTGGAGTATTACTCAGTAACTATTTTTGGTAGTATCAAAAACATATTAACATCAATAGAATGTCCTTATTCTCTTCATACTCCTTTCCAGATGTTTTCGTCACTCGCAAAGGAATCCCTTGCAAGCTCTACAATTTGCTTCGTTTTCAATATTTCTAGTAGTTGGTGTTCAAGGAGCTCTTTTCATTTTTGTTCGGCCTTTAGAGACAAACGAAACGCTTTCGATGCGCAATAAATCCCTCATTAAATACATTCGACTCTGCGAGTTCTTTAAACTAGCACAAACAACTATAGAGTCATATTTAGTATGATTTGTACTTAAACAGTGGATTGCTTTGAAGGTGCGCTTTGATTGGCTACTCAAACTCCCATTAACCTTTGTTATTAAATTACAAACTCCGGATTTTGCATTTCTGGTGTTCTGATTGGTTTAATCAGTTCCGGTTATCGACTCATATACCAGATCACACTACATGGAAAATTTACCCAAGTGTTGCTAAGCTGGACCTCCTTTTGGCTGGAAACAAACACTTTTCCTGTGCATTTTTGATAATTTTATTGAATAAAACAGTCATTAAACTTGTACTTAATGGATACGAGATTAGTCATAGCCAACTCGGCGCCACGCGCCTCGCTATCATGGGATAATTGCAATTCACCGTCGAGTAACTCGCGCGGGAATTGCGCCAGAAAAAATGTAATCGTTGCAGGAATGAATGAGTTGACACAATTTTTTCGTGCCATATACTAAAACCGCTCTTCTCTTCAGCATCGGTGGCAACGGGTGGATATTTACGGAGCCGCGAGGTGATTAGTTGTTAATCATCAACATGGTTACCGTATGAGAGTGATCTACAAATACTTCCGCACAGATTTTCCTCTGCATTGAGTTTATCATTAGGGAAAAACGGTGTTGGCTAAGATTTTCCTCTCGTTACCAGCTGCGAATGTCAAGCTTAAGTTACCTTTTCCATAAAGCTCTACTCTCAAACACGGCCATTCCTCATACGACACTGGGTTGATCCGAATGTACTGGGCTTTCACAGGAACTGGGAATTCTTGTTTTACGATGGATGTCCCATCCTTGTTGCCTTCGAACACCTGTTTAACAAATTCAAGTAACTTGGATGACAACGCGAAACAACAGCATATTTAAATCATTGAAAACATTCAAAATCTGTTTACCATGTAAAGCTGAACCACACATGGAGAATTCAATAAAACGTATTTACCTCTTCGACAAAAAGACAAATCAACACTGCAATACATCGACTGTCGTCTACATTTTCGTTACTTTACCGGTTATCCCGAAGTTGTCGTTCTCGTGATCAATACCGACCGTTGTTTTTATCATAACCGTTATCGTTATCACTTTCAATGTCGTTGACATTGAAAGTGATCGCAGCCTATAGAGTTGCTGTTATTATCATCGTTACCTCTATTGTTGCATTTTTCCCTTATCATAAAAAAGTAGGTTTAGCCAAGGCCTAAAGCCCCTTTCAGAATTTTTAAGAGTTTATTAACAGAAAATGAATTTAGTCACCTTAAGCAGGGGCAGATTTAGACCTTGAGTTGGGGGGGAGGAAGGGGCGGTTTTTTGTTGTGTGTGTACACCTGCCGGTTTTTCTTCCTTCAGCGATTTTTATTTTTTTCGCAAATAAGGAGGGGGGTGCCCGGCGGCCCCCAGGGCCCGGGCCCGGGCCCGGGCCCCTGCCCCAGATCGTCACTGGTTAGGCGCTGGGGGTGGGGAAGGGTTTGTATGGTAGGGAATAGAAGGGCCAGCTAAGTTCTCCTTTCCCGTTCATATTTTCTTTAATGTTATGCATAATACCTTATCCTTGCCCTTGTCATCTAAAAATGTCAACCACTTATCCCCATCCATGGAGTAGGTTATTGAGAAACTCGTGACATATTCCCTTAAATCCTCAAAACCTTGTACCGCAACAGCACAAATGATTTTGGCATCCGGTAGGTGAATCTGAAGATACTCCTCACCATTGCTCATAGGACACCAAGCTAATGGACCATTCAAACGACCAGAAGCCGGATAATGGCGATACCAGTGGCTCGAACTGGCTGAAAAGCTTGAATCAGGCAAATTTCCACCTTCTTGTGCCCCTAGACCATCATCCTTGCATGGAATTTCTTGAAAAAGGAAAGTTTTAAATCAACATATTTGCACAAACACGTAAGTATACTTTACCTCTCTCTTCCTCCCCTTCCCTCCCCTCCCTTGCTTACTAATCAATGTAAAATAAAAGTCAAAATGTATCTCACCTTTACGAGGCGAAGTAATTTGTTTGGAAAAGAAAATATAAGAAAGTTGAGATCAATAAGGGCATGTCGTGGAGTGGAAAATTAAATAAAACATCAAAACCCTAAAATCACAATAAAGGTTTTTTTGGACTTGCCATTTCCTAAAGTTCTTTTCCACGTGTTTCAATATTGCCAAATAACATAGCACCCACATGCCCCTTAGACGAGGGAGCTTTTAATTCGAATCAAAATTCTAATTTTTTTTGGTGAAGTGAGAGGCTGTAAGATTCTGAAAGTTTAGACGCAAACCAAGATAAACTCAGCCCTCAATTGACGACAGCTCTTGAGATTAACTCCCTAAAATACATATGACTTTGAAGGTTGGGGAATAGGAGGTCATGTTTTCCATTTGCGAACAATTATCTGTTCTAAAATCCTTTGAATTTTGACCTGTGGTTCGGTGGTTTACGGAAGACTCCTAGCTATTCGGCAATAAGCGACATTTGTATTCAGAAAGGATTTGATCGTTATTGATAATTATGAAGGAGGAACAGACAGTTTTTTCATTAATGCTTTTCCCGTACAGAACAACGTCTTAATATAAGTACAAAAATCCGATACTTTTTAAATCCTTGCACAGTATGAGCAAAGTCATGCTGCTAAAGAGTCAAATAAACATATGTATACACTTCTAAACATCTTTCTCTTACCTCCGAAAGGGGCTTTTTGTTTCTTTTCTGTAAAAGGGAAAGAAATCACATGTGGTAAATAACAAGTGTATGCAGTCGTAACCCACTGCCTTACGTGGCCACGGTTGGCCTTCAATTTAAAATACCCCCTCTCTCCAGAATTATTGCAAGTCATGTCGTTTCTAGTGTATGTGTAGCTTCATTATTCCAAACAACTTTCACGGTCAGACAGTAGTCATTCCCGGTATCAAAACGGGTCTCAGAACAGTTTATTGCTATTGACAGTTTGTCTTCAGGACTTCCAATCTTTTCCATAACTTTCAACGTCAATACGGATTTCACTGATTATGACGTATCTTATTTGGAATTAGATCTAGAATGAAGATTATCTCAGTGAAATGTCATTGCGGTAGTTTGAGCTGAAGACCGGTTTGGGCAGTTACAAATTACCTTTTCCATACAGCTCTGCTCTCAAACACGGCCATCCGTCGAAAGACATTGGGAAAATTCGAATGTACTTTGCCTCGACGGGAACCGAAAGCTCGTGTTTTATGGTAGATTTCGAGTCTTCATTTCCCTCGAACATCTGTTTAAAAAAGACAGATAAATTTATGATGCAATCTTCACTCTTCGTAAACAGTTATCTCAATGGTCAGCATTAATCTACACAACATCTCTATCATTACCGTTATATATACCGTTATAAATTTATGAGGCAATCTTCACTCTTCGTAAACAGTTATCTCAATCGTCAGCATTAATCTACACTACATCTCTATCATTACCGTTATATCTAGCGTTCTTATTTAGTTTGTAAAACTGACTTGACCAAGAAATAAGTCATTATAAGCCATAGTTTAAGTTACCAAATGTAAATAGTTTTCAATATATATTTTTAATTTTTTCTTTGTATCCATGCTAGGAACTAGTCATTATTTATCCCCTTGGAAAGTCGGAGGATTTTTGGAGGATCACATGGTTTTAAGGGGGAACGAAGGGGGAGGGGGGGGGGTCTCAGTCGTCGCTAACAGAGTATGAGCGGGGGCTATAGAAAACTGACCACCAATGATGTGACACTGCCAATATCCTCCGATACCCCCCTCCCGCCTCCGTGGGCTATAAATAGTGACCAGTCTAGTACGTTATTGCACGTAATTCAGTCACACAGACTCCTAGAGAGTGACTAAACGTAGATGGTGTTTCCTTCTTCTTCCTCTTCTTCCTCTTCTTCTTCACATCTTCTTCTCTTACTGTTTCTGCTTCATTCTTTAAAGTTACACTAAAGAGAACTGTAACCTTTACCTTCAAATTTCCATCCTCATCAGCTATTGTGTTCCACAGATTGCCATCGATGGAATATTCTAAGTAAAACTCCGTCACATGTTCATTTCCGCCTCCAAAACCGGTCCCTTGAAGAGCAATAGCACAAATGGCTTCTGCATCTGGTACGTGAATCTGTAGATACTCTTGCCCTTCGTCAGTTCCTTCCGCACACCAGGCCAATGGACCATTCAACCGGCCATTGAAGGGTTGGAATTCAGCGTAACTTGAGGTAGCAGTGAAGCTTGAGTCGAGCAATTTTCCACCTTCTTCAGCCCCGAGAGGATTCTCCTCACATGGAATTTCTTTAATGAACAGGGAAGAAACCTTGTTTCTCATGTGTCATTAGGTTAAACAAGCGAACGAGACAAATTTATGGAGTAAATGAAGTATTTAAAAGCAAATTAGAAGCGACTGACATAATAATAATAACAATAATAATAGCTAATTGACTCATATTGCGCAGTTATCAATATAAGAATTTTCAATTGCGCATTACAATTAAATGTTGAAAGTTCAACTTAACATCGATTTTAAAAAGTAATAAAAATGTTTACTGAGAAGATGTAGAAAAACAAAATAAATAAAAATTGCACACCAAGAATTAAAAAGCTTTTTGCAAAAATAAAAAAATCTTAATGGCTTTCTTAAACTGGTTTAACTGACCATAGCCAAGTACGGGTATCCTACTTTAAGGAAAGTTTTGATGTATCCTTTTAGGGCCATAGAAATATGGTGATGACTTCCTTCATCAAACCGTCGAAACACTAATCTGCGACCAGAGTTCTTTTTACGAACACTATCACCCGGACGAGCGAAATAGTTGATCGGAAGTTGTAGCTCTACGTTTGTGTGACTTGGAAGAATTTAATATGAGCCAGTGACAAAATGTTTAAAAAGAACACCAATGACAAATCAAGAATTTTATTACACATCCACGTGGCTTTTAGCACAAATGAAAGTGTCTCTTACCAGGTACTGGCGCTTCCGTGACTGGTGCCTCTGCAGATCAAATGCAAAATACCTTATATGTGATGCTTTTTTTCATTTATCATTTACATCTAATCGGATATCCACATGACAAGGAAATTAACGTGTAAAGAACCAATCAGACACTGGAATTTTGCAGTAAAAAAAAAAGCTTAAACCCATTCATCTATGTGTCCCTCCCAATATAGAAAAAAA